GACCTAAAATCAATAGGGATCATCCGATCATTAGTGGTGTCAAGTAAGGCTGCAACCCAATATAAAGTATTTGAGTTGGCATATCAAAACAAATCTGACTGAAAGACGGGTCAAACACTATATACAATCTATTTTCTAGAATGGGTTATGATAAGTCTCCAAACTCCTTCAGATCAAACACTATATACAATCTATTTCCTAGAATGGGTTATGATAAGTCTCCAAACTCCCTCAATTCAAACACTATATACAATCTATTTCCTAGAATGGGGTATGATAAGTCTCCAAACTTCATCAGATCAAACACTATATACAATCTATTTCCTAGAATGGGTTATGATAAGTCTCCAAACTCCATCAGGTCAAACACTATATACAATCTATTTCCTAGAATGGGTTATGATAAGTCTCCAAACTTCGTCGGGTCAAACACTATATACAATCTATTTCCTAGAATGGGTTATGATAAGTCTCCAAACTTCGTCGGGTCAAACACTATATACAATCTATTTCCTAGAATGGGTTATGATAAGTCTCCAAACTCCATCAGGTCAAACACTATATACAATCTATTTCCTAGAATGGGTTATGATAAGTCTCCAAACTTCGTCGGGTCAAACACTATATACAATCTATTTCCTAGAATGGGTTATGATAAGTCTCCAAACTTCGTCGGGTCAAACACTATATACAATCTATTTCCTAGAATGGGTTATGATAAGTCTCCAAACTCCATCAGGTCAAACACTATATACAATCTATTTCCTAGAATGGGTTATGATAAGTCTCCAAACTTCGTCGGGTCAAACACTATATACAATCTATTTCCTAGAATGGGTTATGATAAGTCTCCAAACTTCATCAGATCAAACACTATATACAATCTATTTCCTAGAATGGGTTATGATAAGTCTCCAAACTTCATCGGGTCAAACACTATATACAATCTATTTCCTAGAATGGGTTATGATAAGTCTACAAACTTCATCAGGTCAAACACTATATACAATCTATTTCGTAGAATGGGGTATGATAAGTCTCCAAACTTCATCGGGTTAAACACTATATACAATCTATTTCCTAGAATGGGTTATGATAAGTCTCCAAACTTCATCAGGTCAAACACTATATACAATCTATTTTCTAGAATGGGGTATGATAAGTCTCCAAACTTCATCAGGTCAAACACTATATACAATCTATTTCCTAGAATGGGTTATGATAAGTCTCCAAACTTCATCAGGTCAAACACTATATACAATCTATTTTCTAGAATGGGGTATGATAAGTCTCCAAACTTCGTCGGGTCAAACACTATATACAATCTATTTCCTAGAATGGGTTATGATAAGTCTCCAAACTCCATCAGGTCAAACACTATATACTATCTATTTCCTAGAATGGGGTATGATAAGTCTACAAACTTCATCAGGTCAAACACTATATACAATCTATTTCCTAGAATGGGGTATGATAAGTCTCCAAACTTCATCGGGTTAAACACTATATACAATCTATTTTCTAGAATGGGGTATGATAAGTCTCCAAACTTCATAGGGTCAAACACTATATACAATCTATTTCCTAGAATGGGGTATGATAAGTCTCCAAACTTCATCTGGTTAAACACTATATACAATCTATTTTCTAGAATGGGGTATGATAAGTCTCCAAACTCCCTCAATTCAAACACTATATACAATCTATTTTCTAGAATGGGGTATGATAAGTCTCCAAACTCCCTCAATTCAAACACTATATACAATCTATTTCCTAGAATGGGGTATGATAAGTCTCCAAACTCCCTCAATTCAAACACTATATACAATCTATTTTCTAAAATGGGTTATGATAAGTCTCCAAACTTCGTCGGGTCAAACACTATATACAATCTATTTCCTAGAATGGGTTATGATAAGTCTCCAAACTTCGTCGGGTCAAACACTATATACAATCTATTTCCTAGAATGGGTTATGATAAGTCTCCAAACTTCGTCGGGTCAAACACTATATACAATCTATTTTCTAGAATGGGTTATGATAAGTCTCCAAACTTCGTCGGGTCAAACACTATATACAATCTATTTCCTAGAATGGGTTATGATAAGTCTCCAAACTTCGTCGGGTCAAACACTATATACAATCTATTTCCTAGAATGGGTTATGATAAGTCTCCAAACTTCGTCGGGTCAAACACTATATACAATCTATTTCCTAGAATGGGTTATGATAAGTCTCCAAACTCCCTCAATTCAAACACTATATACAATCTATTTTCTAAAATGGGTTATGATAAGTCTCCAAACTTCGTCGGGTCAAACACTATATACAATCTATTTCCTAGAATGGGTTATGATAAGTCTCCAAACTTCGTCGGGTCAAACACTATATACAATCTATTTTCTAGAATGGGTTATGATAAGTCTCCAAACTTCATCGGGTTAAACACTATATACAAGCTACTTTCTAGAATGGGGTATGCTAAGTCTATAAAAATCGTGTTTGTGAGACTCAATCATTTATATTTAAAGAGCAATTACTACTACAAGAAATGGTCTAAAACATTTGGTTGGTTGGAGATGTATCTCTTTGTATTGTGAGCATACTTTTATTTCAAATATTTTCAAATATTTTTCCTAACTATAAAAGCTATTACTTGCATATAACATTTCTTGACTTATGATACTCCATTGACCCCTTGGTAACATCTCTTTCTTTTTTTATTATCCTATTCTTAGCGACTGTTGCCATGTAGGTTGGAGGGAGGGGGGAGTCATTCTTAAAATTAAAATGTACAAAAACAGCTTTTTCTCTCTTCCACTTGAATTTCGAACAAAATTGTAAAGTGAATAGAGTTAACACCCTAAGATAAATAACAAGGATTATTTTAAAATTTGAAAAAAGAAAACATTTCTATACACTGTTTACATAGTCAAACTATTTGAGGCAAGAGCTCCCAAGAAAGCCAAGAGCCTGATAATCACTTGGTAAAACTAGAGCTTTCACATAGTGGGACTAATACCCCCTTTACATGTTTTTTAGTTGTTACTGTGAAATTCAGTATTGAACCGATTTATTTAGTCTACAGTCAGAGCTCAGACATAAACAAATAGTTTTTTTGTTTTTGACTTACAGAAGACAAACAATGTGTTTTCATTTTCAGACTTATTTTAGTCAGAAAATGACAGACTTGTTTAGGTCTATTTATGTTTATGAAAAGACTTAATTTTAATTGGTGGCCAAAGTGCACCTCCTATGACATCATAAACCTGTCTGAGAGTTCAGACGGACCTGAGCTATCTATATTTAATTATCTAATTGAACATTTTTACTTAACATAAGATTGTTTTCCTCATTTTGTGTGGTTATAGATGGTTGCATTTTAAAGTAAATAAACATCTCCGTTTTTTTAGACTCTCATATATATTTTTCTTTAGAAGACAAAGCATTGTCTTTCAATGTTGTCATAATTTCATGTAGATGCTTGACCTTTTTATAAATGTGCTTGGGTCTTGATGTTGACCAATTTTGGTAACTTATCGACTTGTAGGAGTCAATATTTGCAACTTTTTGATTCAGGTCAAATATTTCTTGCTTAACACTAATTGACTTATTGAAGTCATAATTTGTCTTAAATTAAAGGGAGACAAATCTTGAAACCTACAAATTTAGACCTCTATGAGTCAAAAGCAGATTTAGACTTATTTATGTCTGAGCTCTGACTGGTCTATAGCTTCTATATTAAACAGACGAAAACACAAAAAAAAAATCATATTTACCAGTTAACCATTAAAATGAGGTCAAGTCCAGAGAAAACCTGCCTAACGGACATGTACACCTTAATATTTTTCCACACCAGATATAGTTCAACTTCCGACCTACTGCTTCTAGTATGAGAAACATCCATGTAATGAGGTAAAGGTCAGGTGAACCTTGTCTGACGAACATGTACACCTTGCAAGGATCATTTACACCAAATATCATTATATTATTACTGATAATAAGTCAGAAATTCATATGACAAAAAACGCTATAATTTTTTAAGCTGATGTTAAAACATGAAAAATGAGGTCAAGGACATTGGACATATGAAATACGGAAACTTCGTAATATGAGGCATCTATATACAAGGTATGAAGCATAAGTGTCGTCTACCTTCTAGAATATAAAAGGTTACACAAATAGTTTGACACCGGATTAGCATCACTTATATCTCTCAATTTAAAACTTTTTACTCAAGGCAAAACAAAAATGCTGAAATTGGATAATGGTGGTGTCAGGTGATGATGGTGATGATGATGGATGGCTGCTCAACCTTCAGCTGCAAATCAAATGCATGTTCAGGACTAGAACATGTTAATATAATTTAAATGTTAACCCTGCTTTGTTCGAGACCAACTTTCTGAGCTGGATTGTTAACATGCTAGTTCAAAAAGTAAACATGAAGACATGTCATCCTAACCATACACATTATTCTTATTCAGAGTTGATCAGTCTTTGCTCTTGCTTCTTAATGATACATTCTTACAGAGCAGCAGCAAATACCAATTTCAATGTCTTTGATATGTTCAGACCGGTTTTTGAAATCTAATACTGTAAATTCAGAAATTATTGCAAGGTTTTTACTAAAGCGAATATTGCTACTGCATGAGTATCGCAATAACTAAAGCGTTTTCCTAAAACTGAGGTGCACAAAGATCTAGGAGTCGTCATAAAATTTTAGCAGAAATGGATCATGTGGATAGTGGGTAGTGCATTACATTTTAAGCATTTTTTCGAATAGATAAGGTGACTTAATAAATCTGAAACTAAAATTAGTCTGTTTCATTTTGTTTCAGGTTGAAACCTTACTTCCACAAGTGTTAATTAGTGATGTAATTTGTCAAAACAGCTCTGATCTTAAAACTGATGTAATGGTTAATTCATAGACATAACATGTCTGTTGTAGAGAAAGGAAAAACAGTTAAGTTAAACTGTTTATAATACCATACATGCCATACCTTCTAATCTATTCCAAATGCTATCACCAGATTTTGCTTTGCATTTTATCATATGAATTTCTATTCCATTTGTGCTTGTTACATCTGCATTATTTCCTCCAAACAATCTTTTTAAAAATGATGTTAGTCCAGCACCTTTCTTTCCTTCGTTGAATAATCTTTTAACCAATGAGGTCTTACCCGCACCTTTCTTTCCAACGATTACTAAACGTATGTCTCTCTTTTTCTCAGAGCCTGACTCAAGTAATTTGAGGTACAAAGGTACAGATGTTTTGTCAGCCATTAATTCGATTTCAGTTGGAACTTTATTATCTACAAAGATATTTGAAAGACCTATTTTAATTATTCTTTTGTTTATCTGACATAATCTGTTATCACTGTATGGAAATACGAAATATTCTGATTAAACTTATAAATAGTGGCTGTTTTGAGGTGAGATTTTGTTCCATGTTTGAGGACTCAATGTGGCTTTTAGACGAGGAACAAAAATAAAGGTGCCTATGATAACTTATTCACAGGTAATTGTGTGCAGTCATTCACTGTCAAATAATCTAACATATACATGATATATATCTTGACGTACCATGGATTCATTATAATATTCGTTGAATACCAAGTTTTGTTGAATTCATTGGTACAGGGAAACCATGAATTAAATGTTCAACGAATTACAAATTTGCTGTTTAATTATATGCAGATTTTTGAAAAACCGCGGAATCAATTATCCAAGAAAATACAAGTTTTCCTCAATCCACAAAAATTGGTACCCATGAAAATAAATGAATCCACAGTATATGCTTGACTTAAGGATGTAGTCAGGTCAGGTTTATGAATTTGTGTCAGATGTTCTGACTCCTTGGGGTTTTTCCTACGATACAGTTTAAAATATTTTGGCCCATATCGCCCACTTTTCTTTTCATAGACAGACTTCAAAAGCTCATAAAAAGGTCCTTACCAAAATGTAAGCAGATTCTAAACTTTTTTCTTACAATTTGAGACCAAAATAATGCCAATGCTAAATATAAGGTAAAAGTCTGGGTCAGCATTTTCCTCCCATTTAAAAACAAGAGTGCACACGCTGAAATGTCTCGCCTTCTTTACTAATCATTGATATTATGTTGATAGTTCTAAATATAAAGCTTTACTACAACTATCACATAAACTTAACATGATCCAAGAAAATGAGGTCAAGGTCATATAAACCAAACAAGAAATACATGTACACCTTACAATCATTCAATACACTTAATATAGTTGACCTATTGCTTATAGTTTCTAAGATACAGCCCTCATAAAACAAGAGTGAACACGCTGAAATGTCTCGCCTTCTTTACTAATCATTGATATTATGTTGATAGTCCTAAACATAAAGTTTTCTTACAACTGTCACATAAACTTAACATTAACCAAGAAAACTAAACATTGACCAATGAACCATGGAAATGAGGTCAATGTCAGATGAACCATGCCAGGCAGGCATGTACAGCTAACAATTCTTCCATACAACAAATATAGTTGACCTATTGCTTATAGTTTAAGAAAAACAGACCAAAACACAAAAACTTAACACTGAGCAATGAACTGTGAAAATGAGGTCAAGGTCAAATAAAAACTGCGCAACTGACATAAAGACCATAAAATATTTCCATACACCAAATATAGTTGACCTATTGCATATAGTATTAGAAAAAAAGACCCAAACTCAAAATCTTAACTTTGACCACTGAACCATGAAAATGAGGTCAAGGTCAAATGACACCTGCCGGCTAGACATGTACACCTTACAATCATTCTATACACCAAATATAGTTGACCTATTGCTTAAAGTGTAAGAAAAACAGACCAAAACACAAAAACGTAGCATAAGCAATAAACCATGAAAATGAGGTCAAGGTCAAATAAAATCTGCCAGATTGACATGTACATCATTAAATATTTCCATACACCAAATATAGTTGACCTACTGCATACAGTATTAGGAAAACAGACCAAAACACATAAACTTAACATTTAACAATAAACCTTGAAAATGAGGTCAAGGTCAAATAAAACATGCCAGACTGACATGTACATCATAAAATATTTCCATACACTAAATATAGTTGACCTACTGCATACAGTATTAGAAAACAAACCAAAACGCAAAAACTTAACATTGAGCAATGAACCGTGAAAATGAGGTGAAGGTCAAATAAAACTTGCCAGACTGACATGAACATCGTTCAATATTTCCATACACCAAATACAGTTGACCTATTGCATACAGTATTAGAAAAACAGACCAAAACACAAAAACTAAACTATGACCACTGAACCATGAAAATGAGCTCAAGGTCAGATGACACCTGCCAGTTAGACATGTACCCCTTACTATCATTACATACACCAAATATAGTAGACCTATTGCTTATAGTATCTCAGATATGGACTTGACCACGAAAACTTAACCTTGTTCACTGATCCATGAAATGAGGTCGAGGTCAAGTGAAAACTATCTGACGGGCATGAGGACCTTGCAAGGTACGCACATACCAAATATAGTTATTCTATTACTTATAATAAGAGAGAATTTAACATTCCAAAAAATCTGAACTTTTTTTTCAAGTGGTCGCTGAACCATGAAAATGAGGTCAAGGACATTGGACATGTGACTGACGGAAACTTCGTAACATGAGGCATCTATATACAAAGTATGAAGCATCCAGGTTTTCCATCTTCTAAAATATAAAGCTTTTAAGAAATTAGCTTACACCACCGCCGCCACCGCCGCCGCCGCCGTAGCCGCCGCCGGATCACTATCCCTATGTCGAGCTTTCTGCGACAAAAGTCGCAGGCTCGACAAAAATGGTGTCTGAATTCTGTCTGACAAGTATTCTTAATTTTTCTTATTTTTTTCTGAATAATGTCTGAATGGCTATAATAATTTACATTTATTCAAATGTCTGAATTTTTGCTGGATTTCGGACTTTTAAGGAAAAATTCTGAATTTTCATACGAACATTCAGACAAAAATCAGAATAGCATTCAGACACAAATCAGAATAATGTTAGAATAAATTAAGACATTATTCAGAATGAATTCAGAAAAATTCTGAACTTAATCAGAAAGATTAAGAAATAATCAGACAACATTCAGAAACATCTAGACAACAATCAGAAATATGCAGACAACATTCAGATGGATTCAGACAGATTCAGACGGATTCAGATATATTCAGAAAACATTCAGAATGATTCAAAATGTGGATATCCATACAAAACTTTGAAACTAATACAACAGAAATTCCCCTAAAAACATAAAAAGAAGTTCTTGAAGTTGAATGAAAATCAATGTGCTTACACATTGATGATGGTCAAATATCCATAGCCTCTAAACAATAATAAAAAAATCCAAATTTTCAGGAAGTTTGTAAATTAATAGTTTCAATAACATAAAATTCAAACTTTAAATTTTCAATTCAATTTTATTATCTGATATGGATCTGTGATTCCCTGGTCTGTTCTTTTCCTGCCTCTTGGAGTCTCCAGCTCTTTTTTCTTTATGAGTAAATTCCCTTCAAAATAGAATGGATCATTTCTCATAAAAAATTATATCAAGTAGGTGCAGGTATCTTATGACCTGAGTAAACTAGAGGCTCTCAAGAGCCTCTGTCGCTCACCTAATCATAACAGATACCCTAATAATGAGTGAGGCCAAATTTGGTTAAATATTGGTCCTGTAATTTGATAAAAAATCCTGGTGGCCATCTTGAACAGTAAATTTGCAACAAAGTAGCAACACTTCATCAGCACCTCATAAGAAACATTTATGCCATGTTTTGGTTTCTTTCCATTCAGTGCACCTCTAGAAGAAGCATTTGTATGTATTTCCCATAGGGTCTTATGTTAAAGGAAGTCCCCCCATTGGCGGCCATCATGTATGAAAGATCAGCTTCAAAGTAACAAAACTTAGTCAGCACCTCATAAGGAACATTCATGCTATGTTTGGTTTCATTCCATTCAGTGGTTCTCTAAGAGAAGACATTTTTATGTATTGTCCATAGGGTCCTTTTTTAAACATTGTCCCCATCTGGCGGCCATCGAGGATGAAGGATCAGCTTCAAAGTAAGAACACTTGGTCAGCACCTCAAAAGGAACATTCATGTCATGTTTGGTTTCATTCCATTCAATGGTTCTCTAAAAGAAAACATTTGTATGTATTTCTCAAAGGGTCCTATGTTAAACTAAGTCCTCCGCTGGCGGCCATCTTAGATTATGGATCGGCTTCATAGTAACAACACTTGGTCAGCACCTCATAAAAAACATTCATGCCATGTTTGGTTTCATTCCATTCAGTGGTTCTCTAAAAGAAAACATTTGTATGTATTTCCCATAGGGTCCTATGTTAAACTAAGTCCCCCCCTGGCGGCCATCTTGGATTATGGATCGGCTTCGTAGTAACAACACTTTGTCAGCACCTCATAAGGAACATTCATACCATGTTTGGTTTCATTCCATTCAGTGGTTCTCTAAAAGAAGACATTTGTATGTATTTCTCATAGGGTCCCATGTTAAATTAAGTCCCCTGCTGGCGGCCATCTTGGATTATGGATCGGCTTCAAAGTAACAAATCTCGGTCAGCACCTCATAAGAAACATTCATGTCATGTTTGGTTTCATTCAATTCAGTGGTTCTCTAAAAGAAGACATTTGTATGTATTTCCCATAGGGTCCACTGTCAAACTAAGTCCCCTGCTGGCGGCCATCTTGGATTATGGATCGGCTTCATAGTAACAACACTTGGTCAGCACCTCATAAGGAACATTCATGCCATGTTTAGTTTCATTCCATTCAGTGGTTCTCTAAAAGAAGACATTTGTATGTATTTCCCGTAGGGTCCCATGTTAAACTAAGTCCCCTGCTGGCGGCCATCTTGGATTATGGATCGGCTTCAAAGTAACAACACTTGGTCAGCACCTCATAAGGAACAATCATGCTATGTTTGGTGTTATTCCATTCAGTGGTTCTCTAGAAGAAGTTCAAAATGTAAAAAGTTAACGACGACGACGACGGACGACGCCGGACGATGGACGCCAAGTGATGAGAAAAGCTCACTTGGCCCTTCGGGCCAGGTGAGCTAATAAAAAACAAGCTAATAAAAGAACAGAATTCCAATGTCCCCTGTGTTGCATATGTCTCGTCTGCCCAGGGACAATAACTAAAATTCCACAAATTCTTATTTGAACTGTTAGTAATTCTCTATAATATTTCTTTCTATTTCCCTAAATCCAACTCTTGACATTGATGATGTAAGCATTGATATACATTTTATAAAA